TAAGTTTATCAATTAATTCCAAAACCTCCTCTCGTGACACTTCAATCCGTGACAGTTCCTCAGATTCTTCTGGAAGTTCAGTCTCAGGAGTAAACCTAGTAGTTTCTGCCCCTCCCTTCTTTTTTTTTTTTTTTTAAGTTTGCCAGACTAGCAATTTAATAAACTTATTTCTCCTTTCATATATTTTGGCCTCGGAATGAGTCAGAGAATTCTCTTCAATTTTGTTTGATAGAGTGTGACTAATTCTTGTCTCGCTTATACGAAAAGAGCTTAAATCTTTTGAATCTTTGATAAGAGAGTGAAGCTTTGCAGATTTTTAAAATCCTTCTTTATTGATTTTTGATTAGAGTAAAGGAGACCAAACCTTCAAGTAGCAATAATAGGCAGACATATGAAGAATAATAAATCACATTGGATAAATGATATTACTTTCATTCAAAGAAATCTGATGTGTTGTCAACAAACCAGGGAGTTCTAAGGTTAATTCAAAGGTCTCTTCCATGCAAAGAAAGTAATTTGGAGTGCCTATAAAGACCTCGGCATTATATTTCCAAACGGATGAAATGTCTTTATCCAGGCAGAAAGAGCTGGCTCTTGTTAGAACGAAGTGATCGCTAATGTCCAGCCCAAAGTTTGCATTTTAAGAAAACAGGAAAAATAAAGGATCACATATCTGCCCTTTTCTGAAGCTTCAAATAGTGCTGTAGGGACATGGGTGAAGCTGGGGGTTCTACCATGTTCTGCAGCCCAGCTTGTCCCTAAATTGGCCCATGCTACAGAGTAATAAAAACTGTGTGTTCTAAACAAACCGTCAGCCAAATAAATGGTCTAAATATCTGAAGTCTCCCAGCTCAGAAATGTAACAAATGCCTTGTTCTTTTGCAATTCATTATGTTTTGGGGGCAATTTCTTAAGAACTGTTCTTGAAATAAGGTCCCTCTCTTCCTACTTTCTAAAGATCTGCAGTGTTGATTTCTGAATCCTCTGACTCAGTTCTGTCTTCAGTTGTTGATTCACCAATAAATCTGGCAGCCTCTCCTGAGGAAGAGAGGATAACGGCTGGGCATACTAAATAAACTTGCTTGGAAAAGAGAGAGAGGCTGAAATTCTGGCCCTGTTGAAATCAGTGAGAGTTTTCCAATTAACTTAATTAGGGCCAGGATATCACCCATAGTACATAAGCTCCTTTCAAGTTCTTTAGCTATTTATTGTGTTCCTTCTCTTTCTCTTTCCTCTTTCATTTTTCCTTAAGTCTGTAAGAGAATTTTAGTGCTCATTAAAGTCATCTAAAGACACCTAAATTCTCAGCTTTTAAATGGTGAGTTTGTTTTAAGATAGACCGAGTACAGCCAGGCAATGAGTCCTATGCTTAGCCCACACAAAGCTAACGCATGTCAGACGGCTTGCTGCCATACCAACTATTCCAATATTTGGCAATCTGTATTCTAGACAGGACCATCACATCAAACTTTGGACCCTGATTCAGGATTTGAACCAAAATTTCCAAAAGTGAAAAGCCAGTGCTGTAGCCCATTAGACCACCTTAAGTCTACTCTGACTTATTCCTCTTATTTGTCTTTTTTTTTTTTTAATTAGTGCCATGCTGTGACAGAGAAGTAAAAATGTTCTTCGGTTCCTCTGCAGAAAAGTAGACTGATTCATTACTGCCTTTGGGGTGTTATTCCACAACACTAGGGTAGAACAAGTGAGTAGAAGAGTTTAAAAGAGTTTTGACCCTATGTTTTGCCTTGTAAAGAGAGTGTTCAGATGGAGTCAAATAACATTGACTCTGATACTTTCAGACCTGAAGGCCTTCAGGAACCAGCCTCTCAATGAACTCTTCAGCCTGAGCTGACTTCCTTAAAAAGGGCACTGTCAGCTGTCGAATAATGTTGTTTATTTTAGAAGTAATTAGCATCATGGTGTTTTCATGATATTAATGCTAGTGTCACTGGGTTCTTTTGCACATGTGCTGTGCCCCTCTGTGATGGTAGATGCTTGTTTTGCCACTCTTTGTGAACCCTGCCAGAGGGATTGAATGTCCCAGGCTCTGTGGCATCTGGATAGTGCTGCGATACTTTATACAGAGAAGTGAGGAGATTAGATCCCCCACTTCAGCCTAACCAATTTATGTATCTTAACCTTTTCGGTTCAACGTACGTTTGATTTATTTGTTTTCTTCTTCCTGTGGTTTGAATGGAATTTGATTGTTCTTGTAATTCCATGTCCTTACAATACATCTCTTTGTTCATCAACTTTATGCACTGATCTCAGTCTGAGCTCTGTGAACAGTCTATCTTACTTTGCTGCTTGGCTGCAAAGAAAATTCATAATGTTTTATTGTGGGTCCTATGCAAAGTTCTTGCAGGATGGTGGTGGTGTCTGTTTAAGTGTATTAAAGAGAGGGTAAGATGAGTGTGCACTTTAGTTTTTAGAGATTATTTTTACAGCTGAGGCCAGGGATATGAGTTGTACTCTGAAATTTGCCTTTGGCTTCCTTTCTGAACCTGGGCAAGTCACTTCACCTCTCTGTGTCTTATCTGTTCAATGAGGATAACAAGATTTCCCTTCCCTACAGTGAAGTTGTGAACCTTAATTCAGTGGTTCTCGAACGTTTTTCATAATTGAAAACTCTTGATGGAGAGGTTCTCATGGACCACCTTCCATCCTGTGGACAACTGCACAAACCACTTCCCCTCCCATTTGTGATTGTACAACATCCTTGTGGCAACTGCTGCTGGTTGGCATTTTTCAAACAAAGTTTTATTGTTGATAAATGGACTTTATTCTAATATGAAAAATTTTACAAAACTTGATTTTTTTTTAAAAAGTAATGATATTGTACTGCTTTCTCTTGCATCTGTGGCAAGGAAAAGTGTATAATTCAGACTCCTCATCTTCCTCTGGGTTACTTATTTAGACAGTGTTTATTTTTTTCCTCCTGCATTGCACAATGCATGCTAGTCCTGTGGGAGTTCTTTCTTCAGAGATTTCTCACTAGTTTTGCGAAGTGTAGTAACTGCAAATTTCATGAATCTAATTTTTTTGTAAAAGGTAGAGTCTGTGGGAAGTGTAATCAGTATTGTGCTTGACATGGTGTTTACTTCTACTTGCTAGTATTGTTGTATATGGGAGCTTAGGCACTTAACATAAGGAACCGTTGCAGTCAATTTATTTGTAGCTCTGCAAGTGTTATACACTCAATAAAGATACTTATAATGCATATGTGGTGAAATCTAGCAGTTACTGTTATGCTGTGGGCCAATGTCTGTTACACCAGTGCAGTGCCAAAGCAGATTGCACTGGTGTAAGTGAGAGCAGAATTTGGCCTTACGTCTTTTGCTGGGCTGCATGCTGCTACCTATGCCTTGTTTGATATTTCCATTTTTAGATCCCTTCATGTAAAGCTTTGTAAGGCAAATAGGCTCTCCAGCACTGAGAAATAGACCAAAATGATTAGAAAAGCCGAAAAGATTATGTGAGTCAATTTGCATCTGCCTTTAAATGTTACAAAGCTAGACCTCTCAAAATGAATTCCCCATCATTTAGGCATGGTAAAACAACGACTGATTAAACTAGGGTATTATTGGCCAGCACAAGAAAGCACAGATGTCTAGGCTGGATGATTTAACAAACTAAATGCTGTTCTTTCATCTAAAGAAACCTAAATTCTCAGGTTTTAAATGGTGAGTTTGATTACCTTAATTTGATCTGTAGTGAGCAACAGCAGACATTACAAACCGATTCATCCAGTTGGACTGGAGCTAGTAGAGAAATGGAATTAGCTTTCATCTCTAAAGGCTGTGGTCCCTCCAGATGAGGACTGAGGCCTTTGCAGTCTGACAATATTTGGAGCAGCTGTGCAAATCACAATAGTTTTGACAAAACCACATGTGACAATTTCATTTCTCCTCTCATAGCAAGCAAACATTATAAACAGCAATATGGACCAAAGACATGTACGGAATGCCTCAAATGTTGAACACTGTATTGGACATAAGTATCTTGTGTGATAAAGTATAATTTAAATTTTAGATCTTTTCTACAAAGGGATAAAAAGACTATATTAATGTGCAGTTTTTAGTTAATTTTCTTCATATAGAACATCACAGATTTAGCTGCTGCTTCTTAATTGTAAAGACTTGAGACTGAACACAGACATGTGTGTCTGTGTGTACACCCACACTATTTTTATATATAATACTTCAGTTGCAGATTGCCTGTAAATTACCTCAGATAGTTACAATCTTAAGTATCTATGTATAGTAAAACTGACCTCAGAAAAGTTGCCAAGAGTAATACACACTATGTTGTATCTGATGCTTGTGTAATTCAAACAATAAACATGTGTTATGGGTATGTCAGATGTACAATACACAAACAGTATGTAAATGCAGAGGAACTGCAGTGTGGAATAATTCCTGTTTTCAATGCAGTATATTGATCAATCATTAATCTGATTAATTTATTTCATTAATAAAAATCTGAAAATGGAGGAGGGGCAACTTAATGTTGATTGGAAGTTGGATTTCTTTTTCATTCACATGCGTTTCACTATTGTGTTGTTGCAGAAACTGGAACATAGAGAAGTTTTAGTTGGCTTGTTGTTCCTGGTTTTCCCATTTATCCCAGCCAGCAACCTCTTCTTCAGGGTGGGGTTTGTGGTGGCAGAGCGAGTCCTTTACATGCCAAGGTAATTATTGCAATTGAATTCCTTTATAATGAGACCCTCTCACCCATTTTGTAAAAGCAGGTAAGATTTTTTAATTTTTTGCCTGTTATTGTGATTCAGACATTATATTTTATTTATTTTTCGTCCAAACACAATATGCCTTTGAATTTTTGAGCAGCAACATCAGAAAATGTATAGCTTGTCAAGGCAGGCTACTTGGCAGAATCAAAGCTAGTTCCATTCCATTGTTATGAATTTTTTTGAATATGGTTTAAAGTATCTGTATAAAGGGAAGCAGTGTGTTGTTTCTTGTACGTTGTCCTTTCATGTTTGTACGAATCTTGCTGTTTCCCTAAGCAATATTGTCAACGTAAATTGTCCATGTTCTCTAATTTAAGCACAGTATTTATAGGGTTAACCATTATTATTACTGTTTATCTATTATTAATAGCCAAGGGGGACCCATTGTGCTACATTCAGTACAATCACAAAGGAAGACAAGGTCCATCTCCTAAAAAGTTGACAAGTCTCTGATTCTGCAAGTGGACTGTTTCACCCACACAGTCCCATTGCCCGTGCACTATCAATTGCAGGATCAAGGCCTATGAAAGAGTTTATAGTCTAGTTGGTGGGGGTTGGGAAAGACTCCCACACATTCCTCAACTGTAACTCTAAATTTGAGTTCACCCTAGTTTTCACCTAGATACCATTTACATTATAGACTGACTAGCCCTCTAGGGGGTTCTGGTGCTTCTTGCTGCTCTTGCAAGCAGCATAGTTTTGAACTGCTCCTTGTATCTCCATCATATCCAGCTCTAAGGCTGAAGCAGTAGGAAAGGCCAACCATCCAAGATGCAACTGGTGATTGCCTGCTTCATCCAGCCTTAAATATAATTACATTTTCATAGCACTGTAGCCATGTTTCCATTCTAAGAACTAAGTTTTGCCATCAGGTGCATACTCAGTTCCCATTATCTTTCATGATGATTGAATTTAGAGCTGATGGCCCTACGCTTCACCCCAAATTGCTTTATGCTGTCTGAAATAACTGCTCTATTCCCCCTACTTTTTAAAATTAGATTGCTGAAAAAGCAAACAAAAACAGAAAACCTAGAAAAATATTCTCTGTAGTCCTGATCCTGCAAAGGCTCATGTTTCTACTTAATTTTATGCCCGTAAGTATTCCCATGGACTTCAATAGGCCTACTCTCTGGTCTTCGCTAGACTGGGACCAGAGTCTATAGTTTTATGTAGCTGAGATGTATTCCTGCCTCGTATTATATCAGTTTGTTTTATGGACCAAATCCTGCTTACCTTATTCACAGAAGCAACCCCCTTGAGTTCGATGAGACTGTTCACGTGAGTAAGGTGAGTGAGATTTGGCCCTCTGAGTTATTCTGAGACTCATCACCACAGCTCGTGTTTCTCATTACTGTCCATCATTTTAAATGGAGAAACATATCAAAGCTGTTAAAATAGATATTGAGAAACAGCCAGCCCAGCTTCTAACACACTGCTTGGTGTTCTCTCACTTTTCTGGCTGTGGAAAGAGCAAAGACTTGGAATGCTGCAGACGCCAGCATCTAGCTCTTCTCCAGATGAGGTTACTGATATCACAACGTGCCTTTTGAAGTTGGTGGTAATGAAGGAGGAAAAATGGGCAATGCTCCAGGAGGACTTTGTGGAAGGAATATTAACATATTTAATATGTGCACAGGAACACTGCTTATATAATGTTTTTCATCCTTCTATGGGCTTTACAAACATACAACCTGTGAAATAGGTAATTAAAGTGACTCCCTTTTTTAGGAGGAGATACTGAGACAGAGAGGTTAAATGGTAAATGCTAAGAGTGACTATGTGTCAGAGTCCCTGGGTCCTGTTCTGTTTTCAAACCACTAGACCATTCATTTCCTCATTCATGACCTTTTTTCACCCCAGCGTGGCAGGCCACTGAACTGAAATTTAAAATTAAAAACTAACATGGCCATTAATTCTCATGTCAAAGAAAGAGTGTGGACAGCTCTCACTCTCTGTCACCAGGTTCTTTGTAGGAGAAGGAGGGATGCTCAAAAAATTATATACACAAGAGTGTTGAGAACTAAATTTACTGCTTGCAAAGTTATTGAATACCAATGAGCACTCTTTCTGTCTCTCTCTATAAAACAGATTGGGTGGGGGAGTGTTAGCCTTCCATGAGCATTCATAACTATTGTGAAACCACAATGACATCTCTTTATTCCCCCCCATCTCCACCCCCCTGAGGAACTTGGCACATGATATTGAGGATATACGAGAAGGAGGGGCAGTGTTCTTTATTTGGAACATTCTTTAGCAACTGTTTCATTGCTTGCATTTTGCCAAATGCAATATACTTTTCTTGAGTTTTGTTCTATTTTTGCTCTAACATCAATTACTAAATTGGAATATTTCACTCCCATTTGAAAGATTTTTTTTGAGGTGAGAAAGCTGACTCAATGTGTGGAAAACACATTGATGACTGTGTTATTCTTGGTTATATTTAAAGGTGCTCTTCCACCCCCTTTTGAAATGAAAGCCTTTTATAAATATTTGTGTGCATGTCACAGTTGTGCACATTGCAATCTGTGGATCGCATCCTGAACTCCTTACTCCATTTTATTCAGTCCTTACATGGGCAAAATTTCAAGTGTAGTGAATAAAGACCTGAGGATTTAAGCAAAAGGTTTGTAAACCAAAAAGGAAATGTTTTAGGATTTTTACCCCCACATTAATTTAATTTGACTTAGAAAAATAGGGAATTGTACAACCTTTTGATCATGCACTAGTTGTAGAACTTGACCCTGCCTTCCAGGACTTTGTGTACATCTTCAAAAGCCTGAAAAAAAATCAAAAAGATTTTTTAAATGTTTGTTAAAAATTTTCACAGGATAATAGTTTCCCAACCAGCTGTAAACATAAGTGGAGATTGGGGCAGGATAGAATTCATAGGACAAATTTTCAAAAAAGCTCCGCTCCCATTTAGGCACCAAAATAAGTGCCCAGATTCTCAGAAGATTCAGGACACTGAATGCTGACCTCTTTTGGAAATCTGGCTCTAACTGCAGGTGCTGGCCACTTTGAAAATCTGGTCCACTTAGTGCAAAACATCACAATTGCATTTCAAATGAAAAGAACAGTTAATCTCATTGTTCTTAGAACCTAACTGAACATAACCTGGATCTTTAGCTCCTGACTGCAATTGCTCCTCAGGGGAACAGTTAAACACACAAAGTGTGACGGTGACCACCTCTGATGCAATGCTAAACACTCTGACCTCCCATTTACTGTAATGGGAGTTGGGGGTTCTCTGGATCTCTCAAGACTGGACCCTTATTGTAGGAGCTATTTCTCTGATTTGCTCAACTTTTTGCACAACTCCCATTTCAGTGGCTCCTGCCTGTTGGTTTGTTTTTTTATTTATTTACTACGCATTTGTTTTCTAATTTACTTCCAGATTTTTAGAGAACCACCCTGCTAAAAATAGCCAACCACCTGAGCCTGCTAAGTGCATGCACAGTTTCCGGATCGAGTGCTTGTGTGTTAAATATTACAATGTTTAAACTCCAGAAGCAATCCGTTATTCTTCCTGGCTCAGATAGTTATGTCACTGCTTATTTTTACCTTTTTACCTTATTTAAACCTTCCCAGTTTAACAGTCCATGGATTTTGCAACCATGACTGACAAAAACAAAGATGAAATTAAATGAAAGTTGCACATATTTATTGCAGAGAGTGTGATATGATCAACTAAGGGTCAATCAGGTCACCACTAGTTCCTGTATATGTGCTTTGCTTTCAGACATATATTTGCAGAAATTTAAGTGGTGAAAGTTCTGTTAGAAGTAAACCATATAGCCAGTCAGGAGGAATGCAGATGATAGGACAGGAAACTGACCTTTTACATCAAAGGGAGAAGTCCTATGACCTGATGCATCAATTATAATAACAGCGTCCTGTGTGCAGATTTTGATTACATCACTGATTCAGTACATTCCCAGGCAACTTTTGATAGTGGAGTTCTGTGTGTTGGGGTCCTAGGGAGCCCAAGATGAAAATAAAAGCTGCTCTCCAATGGTTGAACCCCAGCAGCACAGTGGCAGAATTACTGCCATCTGACTATGCATCCCTCTATGCGTCCCTCCGTCCATTGCAAATACCACCTTAGGCCCAGCAGGGAGTAAACTACCCCCTTATAAATAAATGCCCAGCAGGGAGTAAACTATACCCCCTTATCCCTGTAGCGGTGAATCAATATGATGCTGTCTGTTAAAGAGCAGCACTCTCTGCCTTGCAGGTTGCGTGTTTCTGCCAGAGCCTATGCATTGCTTTTAGCCACGTTTGTTTAGTGAATCAGAAGTACACCATGGTAAGTTGTAAGATCAATACTTGTAAATGTCTCTGCCACCTTACTTGATTTCTAAATAGGAATCAGTAAGAAAGTCAGTATCTAGACAAAATGGTCTAGGTTTCTCAAAAGGATCAATCTCTTTGTATCAGCTTCTTCTTAAAAATTCATACAAGACCAAGTGCCCCACGAAGCTTTTGTTTTTACATGCTGTACTTTAAACAACAAAACAGCAAATTGCTGCCTATCCTTGCTAATGTATCCACTTCACTTAATATAACCCCATCCATTAACATTTGCAATATACTAATTAAACACTAGAAACTGATCCATATTATGGTAATGAAGTCTGCAATTTTCGTGAGATTGTGACCCTGAATAATTCTGAAGAGAACTTACCTTCCCCCACAAAGCAATAATTTGAAGAGAGGGTTTTATAATATGCCTGCCTTTGGCATTATTCATTTTTCACTGGATGTAATGTTATGCATTTTCACTCCCCCTGCCACCCTTTTTCACTTTTTTTTTAAACCTATATGTCACTCAAGCTTGAGGATCTGAATTCCCACTTACCTGACTCACATTCCTTTAATACTAGATCAGATACTGTGTGTGTTGATATAACTTCTGCTAATAGAAGATCTTCCTCCCCCCC